CCAGGGAGCGTAGCCTCTCTGTATTACATGCATCTATAGAGACGATGTAAGATCCAAAGTCTCCTTTGCTTATTGCTTCACCACAGATGCTGAGTGCTTGATGGTGGCGATTGATATTCATCCTGTTTATCTGTGGGTGAGTGCATCTGAGTAGGGTATGGGAGATACTATCAGGTGTACCACAAAGAGGGCAAAGAGAAGGCCCAGGGTAGCCACTAAAGCGTCTGGCATGTTTGCCATTGTAAAGGGTGTCCGTTCGATACTTGAAGACATTTGTTTGTTCTTTGAGAGTCACAGCTTTCAGTGCCAGAGAGCATTACTAATTTTTGGATTGGCAGTGGGGTGAGCGCTCAATGCTAGCATTGGACATTCTGAGCAAGTTCTGCCAATTTTGGTAGGTATATGTGCTGAGGTTTGCTGTGCCCAATTTGTGTTTTTCATGTATTACTTGTTTCAGTTTGTCCTAGAGGTCTGAAAGGGGCAAGTGTTCTGTGTGAGAGCAATGTGTTGTGACAGATGCAGCAAGCCATTAGAGATGGAAGAAAGGAGTGTCTGCCTGGTTGAGTGAGGTGTTAGCTTCATCAGGTAGCATAGCTGCTTGATGAGCAAGGGCATCTGCGCTTTCATTACCAAGGATGCAACAGTGTGATTTTACTTTGTAGAAGTGGACAGGGCCTTCTGAAGCATTAATGCAGGCTGTGATTTCTTTGAGCAGTGGTGCATGTAAGTGCGCGGACATATCCATGGGTTTCAGAAGCTCGTTTTTAATCTGATAAAGTGCTGAAGCACTGTCAGTCGCAATTGAAGTGTGCCCCTGCTGTAGAGCTATCAGAGTTGCAGCGAGCTCTGCTCTGTTAATAGTATAAGTGGGACCATGGCCCTTGGGATTTATTGTGCAGGTAACAGTTTCAGAGGAGGAGTTGTCTTCCGGGATGAAAAAGGATGCACCTGCCTGCTGTGTATTCTTGTTGTTGGACTTTGACACTGCCATCTATATATATTAGGTGTCGCCAGCCTGGGATCTTTGGTTGCAGGGGTTGCAGGTATGGTTGTACGTTAGGTGTGATGGTTCTTTGTCGGCTACAGACTCCGAAAATGTTGTGCGTGTCATGATGCAAAAGTGCAAATTCCTTCCTCCATGTGCAGGGAGCTTTAAAAGAGAGGGTAGTGTTTTGATTTTCTGCAACCTGTTGACTGCTTCTGTGGCACCAGTTTCCTACGTGGATGTCTTGTTTTAAATCCTCAAGTCAATTTGGGTTATATGGAAGAGCTCTTGCTTTCCCTCATTGTTCCAAATGGCAATAAGTTGCATGTGTTTCATATTTTTTTCAGGAAGAGCAAGAGGAGTTAGGTAGACTTGGGGTGGCTGGAATGTTAGGCATCCTGAGGGGAATTTGGCTAGGATTGTGGCATGATCTGGGTAACAAGTGGACCAGCGCATGCATCCTTTTTTGGTCCATCCCATCTGGCTGGGGAGGAGCATGAAGGCGGCCGTTGGGGTAGTTGTGCTAGTGATTGAAGACAGGACATGCATGACAAGGTAGTAGATGAATTCGTCATCATGCGGAGGATGGCAAAAGGAGAAGCCTGTGAATTTGGTTCCAAACATATCAGTGTTGGCCCCAAAAACTCTGTCTCGAGCAAAGGGGCTCCAGTATGCTTTGAAGTGCATGTCATAATCAAGGGGGTTCGAAAGTTCTTCTTGGGTAACTAGCGCACAGCGCGTGAGAGCTGTGAGAATATTAACTGGTGTGCGCAAAAAGTTGGATT